ACATGATCATTATTTAATTACCAATTTAGCTGATATGAGGGGTAGTTTGGTAGAGTGTATTAAGGGTGGCAACGGAACCGGGCACCACGGGCCGGAACCGAACCGGAACCGGGACAGACCGGAACCGGTAATTCCGGAAAAAAATACGTGTACCAGGCCCGGACCGGTAACGGACCGGACCGGAAACCAGGTCCAACCGTTATAAATTATATTTTTTTATTAAAATTAAAAAATTAGAAACATTACACTTAAAAATTTATACTTTTAAAGTTTTAAATACAAACTTTCAAACTTTTAAAAGTATAAAAGTTTAAATTTCACAATTTAAAACTTTGAAAATTTAAATTCAAACTTTAAAACTATAAAAGTTTAAATTTCACCCTTTAAAAGTTTGAAAATTTAAATTCAAATTTCAAACTTTAAAACTATAAAAAGTTTAAATTTCACACTTTAAAAGTTTGAAAATTTAAATTTAAATTATAAACTTTAAAACTAAAAAACTATAAAACTATAAAAATTTAAATTTCACACTTTAAATTTTAAAAGTTTGAAAATTTAAATTCAAACTTTAAAACTATAAAAGTTTAAATTTCACACTTTAAAAGTTAAATTTGAACTTTTGAAGACAATAATTAAAAAAAATTAAGGCGAATAGCCTATTACTTTTATTAATATTAATTAAATAGTACAAGTTGAGTTACAAAATATTAGTAGAGTATTAAAAAATCTAATCTACACAGCCACCTTCTAGGAAGGGTTCTGTTTGAATTAGACCTCGAATTATTATACTCATACTAATAGACATTTAAATTTAATAGTTCATGCTACCAAGGAAATCTTTTTTTAAATCATTTAACATTTCTCTAGTAACATGCTCTGGAATTGGTTGATTAGCTAGTTCTTCCATTGCATCAATGCCGTCATCACTAAAATCTAGCATTATTTCATCAACGTCATTTTCAAATTTGGTCGGTAGAGGTGGACGACCATAACTCCTTCTCTCGCCATTAATCCAATCTCTAAATAGTACGGATATATCCAAGCTATCTGCTGCTAATGAATATCTATGCTCTCCAATTTGAAATCTTGCTGCACTAAAAGCGCCTTCCGAAGCTACTGAAGATGCTTGAATAGCTAACACATCTCGAGCAACCGGTTGTAGTTTTGGAAATCCTTTGCCGCGATTGCTCCACCATTCTAGAAGATCAATAGTAGTAGGTTCTGTATTTTGATTAATGTATGCATCAAAATCATTTCTATCATTATGAGAAAGTTCAATAATACAATCTATCATATCATCAATATCATCTTTATTATTATATCTACTCCTAGAACTTTGAGGCTCTTCGTTATGTACTACATTCCTTATATTAGAATTATACAAGTCGTATAATTTTCTAGCTTCAATTTTTATACTATCTTTAACATCTTGACAACTAGGTGTTTCATCATCTTCACTATCAATACCCAAATTAAAATATATTTTATCAACCATTCGTGATGCACCTTCATCTTTGTAATGTGGGTTTAACAAACAAGCAGTTAAATAAATTTGAGAAATAGGAATAAAATATTTTTAAAATTTTTCAATCATTTTCTTAACAGATTGTTCAAATCTTGGTTTATTTTTGAATTTATAAAATTTACTAGAAATAGCACAAATATTAGGTAAAACAGAGCAAATAGTTGGATAATAAAGTGCAGATATTTTTTTTGTAATTAAATAAAAAACTTTTAAGAATTCTATAAGTTCTTTTATGTCATTCCAATCATTATCATCAAGTCTATATGTCATATTTGAATTATGAGCATTCCAAACCATTTGTAAAGGTTTCCTATATTCATAAGCAACTTCAAGCATTTCAAATAAAGAATTCCATCTAGTACACACTGATTTTGGAATTTTCTAGGTGGAAGATTAAATTCACGACAACGATTTTTAAAATCTCTACGTCTAGACTTAACTTGACATTTAAAAATAAAATGACATGCAGTTTCAACTTTTGTGCAACCATCATCATATATTGTTATACCATCTCTAACAATCAAATTATATATGTGTGCAGCACACCTAATATGAAAACCATCAATATAAATAGGGCAAAGAGACGGTTTTAGTATTTCAACAGCATTACTATTATTAGAAGCATTATCTAATGTGACACTACTTATTTTATCACAAATTCCATAGTTTTGCAAAACATCTATAATTGTTTGAGCTATATAACTACCGGTTTTATGCATTTCACAACATTTATAACCTAAAATTCTTTTTTGCAAAGTCCAATTTTCATCAATCCAATGCGCAGTAATTGTGAAATAATCATTACCATTTACACTACGGCCCATATCAGAAGTAATAGCTATTTTACAATTGTTATAATAAAATAAACAACGAAGATATTGAAAATGTTGAGCTTGATAATCAAAGATAGCCTTTTTAATTGTATTTCTAGTAAAACCTTTAAAATGTGGATTATACACAATTTGAATATAATGAATAAAATCGGGATTTTCAGCAAAACTAAATGGCAAACCCATAACAACAATCATTTTAGCTAATTCTTCAAGATCTTTTTCTCTACTATATGACCGTTGTATACCAGAACCAGAAACATTAGAATGATTTAATTGTGTTTGGACCATATTAGAGCCATCTACTCCTACATTTTCAGGAAGGGTGGTACCATTTTTTTTAGCTTCGGCTACAGCTTTAGCATGCAAAAATTCATTTTTACAACATGACATTAAATGATTACTCAAATGTCCCGTCCCACCCTGTTTTCCTACAGTTTTATGATTCATTCTATGTTTACATTTATTACAAATAGCTTGTGTTTTATCTTCATTCTGAGTCATAAATTGCCACACAACTGATTTTTTAGCGCGTTCTACCTTAGTCCTAGGATGCACGGGGGGAGTGGGAGCAGGACAACGAAAGGGAGCGGGAGCCGGGGAAGAGGGATTGGGAGTGGGACTAGTAGCCAACGGTGGCTCAGTTTCATCATCATCATGTTCATCAACATTATTATCAAAACTATCAACATAAGCATTAACATCATCATGTTCATCATCTTCAGGTAATTCCTCTTCAAAATTACCAAATCTTCTTTGTAAATGTTCATGATAAGGATCTAATCCACTATTACTATCAATATTAAAAACAGTTTCATCAACATGTGTATAATCATCCGTATTTATTCTTAATTGAGAAGTTTTTTTAGTTTTAGATTGAGAAGTACTACCGGTTTTTTTATTTTTCTTGGATTTTGAGCTAGATAAATTAGTGAACGAATTAACTATGGTTGTTTTACCCTTTTCAATAATGTTTTTTCCAAAATCCATATTCAAAATATAAAAAGTGAGTAAATTATATATAATACGAAAATGATTAGCAAAGTTTTAAACAAATAAACAACTAAATAAGTAGAGACTAGAGATTAATTACTCACAAAATAAATAATTAAATGTAAACAAATAAATAACTAAATGAAAAGTGAGTTGGAACGAATGTACCAAACGTCTACTTAAAAAAGTAGACGTGTATGACCGGAAGGCGAAAATTGAAAGTTGAATTTTGAAGCTCCAATTTCCAAAGACCAAATTCGTAATTTTAACGAGAAGTCAAGAATAAGAGAATTTAGAGAGTAGAGAGTAGAGAGATTAGAAGATATTTTTGTGAGTGAAAAGAATGAAAGATTAGGGGTATTTATAGTTAAAAAAAAGGTTGAAAATGTAGTTTTAAGAAGTTTGAGGTATTAAAAAAAGTTTGGGGGGTAGGGAGGTGTAAATGGGGGGTTATGGGGTGAAAGAGCCGTTGGTGGGGCCCAAAACCCGTTGCCCAACGGCTCTCAACGGCTATTTTTCAAATTTTCAGATTAAAAAAAAAAAAAAAAGTTCTGAACCGGACCGGACCGGGACGGAACCGGGACTAATCGGACCGGGATGGACCGGTAAATCCCGGTTTCCGTCCCGTTACCCCTCCCGGACCGGAACAATTCCGAATCTAACCGGTACTATCCGGAACTGAGACGGAACCGGTAACGGACCGGAACGGACCGGAATCGGTACCGGTACCTCCTGGTTCCGTTGCCACCCTTAGAGTGTATTAGCAAAAATAATGCATGCATTAATTATATGTATTAGTAGTCCCTTGTTTGGTGCATTTTTTCATGCTATCTATATCTAATGCTTGCATTAGTTATACACTTTATTGTGTATTGAGAAGTGTATTACTAATACCATGGATTTCTAGGTATTAGTAATGCAAAGGATTTGATTCAGGCATTAATATGGTTAAAGACCAATTACCCCTCAAATGTACTTTTACATCTTTTCCACCATAAATGTGAAGGATACTTTTGTAAATAAATGTTTTTTTACAATGCATACTATTTTTAATACACCAAACCAAACAATGCATAAGAAATAATCTATGCATAACTAATACAAGTATAACTAATACATGCATTACTAATGCAAGCATTACTAATACACTCTATTGGGTATTATTTTTATAAATGTATGATTTGAGTAGTTCAATAATAATATAATAATAATTAAGTAGGCATTTGGATATGAATTTAAAATCATTGATTTAGATAGATGTTAATTTAAAATTGAAATTTTGTTTGGACGTATAATTTAGATTTCAAAAGTTATACCTTTTCTTATAAGCATAACCTTGATAAATTGTGAAAACTATCAAAATTTCTTAGCTCTTGAATAAATTTTTTTTGATTACAAAATGTTATAGCATAAACTACTTTTTTTTAAAAAAAAAATCAATCCAAACCCCTTTAAATTGCATAGCTAAATGACCCCTAAAGTTGATGAATGGTCATATTTGTCTCTTAACTATAATGTGTTTTGGACCCCACCATTCAACTACAATAACAAGACGACAGAAAAAATCTCAATCGAGTGCATTCTGAAAGTACTCTACTTGTGGATTACAATCACTATTTAAACTTTGTGTGGAACACAATTTCCTCAACAGACTCCCTTTCATTTTTTTGTTTTTTCACAAGGGAAAGGGCAAGGCCTTCTAGCCGTGGGAGTAATTACATTTTTGACCTTCTAAACTCCGAAATCAACAACTCAATGGCCGCCGTCTCTAGTTACGCTAGGGCATTTCCGTCATTCGAATGTCGTTCGGAACCTGATTTCTCCGGCAGCCTTCCACATCCTAAAGCCGGCGTTCGATTCTCCGGCAAGTATAACTCCGGGAGTAACCGATCTCAGGTTTATGGTCTGTCTTCTCTGATTTTCAGGTTTCCTCCTAATTTCGTGAGGCAGCTAAGCATTAAGGCTAGGAGGAATTGCAGCAATATCGGCGTGGCTCAAGTTGTGGCGGCTTCCTGGTCTAACAACCAAGCCGGTCCTGAGTTCACTCCGGCGGCTAATGCTGTCGATTCTTCCGCTTCCGCTGCTGTTACTTCGATTGGTATCACCGCAGGTGACGAGGAGGTGGCGGTTGTGGAAAATGCGGATTGTAATGATCAAAATGTACAAATTAAGGGTTCGACAGGTGTTAAATATGCTTCATTTTTGAATTCAGATGGAAGCGTTGCTATTCATGCCGGTAGGATTCTTAGATCCTTAAGCTTTGTGTTGTGATTTCTCTTATTATGTCTGATTAACGTTTATGTTGTATTTCGAAATCGGACGGTTCTTCATCGATGCGATCTGATGAATATATTTCTATTTTGTGAAGCTAGGATTTCAACTTTATCAGTTCTGAATTTTATAAGGACTTTAAGTGATAAGTAACTGGTTTCTAAATTTAACATAGTATTTTAATCGATAATAACTGGTTTCTAAATTTAACATAGTATTTTAATCGATAATAACTAGGTTCTAAATTTAACATGTGTATACATTTAATGAATTTATTAACACATATACACTATTTGAGCAAAATCTATCGGGCCTGCATGCAGGCTATTAGCTCTGCCCCTGTTTATAATGGTCTAAATCGATATAGAGAGGATGGGATATAGAGATATATATAGCAGTTCGGGATTGAGGTGTAGTTGATTAATTCAATGGTTTAAAACCCATAGTTTGCTTGACAATCTTGGAAGAGATGCATGCATGAAATATGTTTTGGGCCTTACTATTGTCCGTTGATGTCTAGAGTGTCAAAGACATATCACACTGAAGGCTTAATCTGAGGACAACAGTACTGTAACACTTCAAGCTAAAATTGGATAAATACTCAAAAAGTATTCAACTTTATCTATCAGTTTGTCTGAATTAGTCCACATCTCCCAGTTCAATTGAGGCTCAAAGCACTCTCAGCCAGATTTCAAGATATTAAGTTTAAAATGCCGTCTCAGCTGAAAAATATTGGTGTCTTGACTCAAATTGGAGCTTGGATGATCTCTTCATATTTTCCTAATCTCATTCTTTCCGTGAGTGTTTATGTTGGAGGGACGGGAAGAAGAAGACGGGTTACAGACATCAATGACTAAGCTCTCAACCAAATAGGAGGAAATGTGGGGTTTCTGTGTATTCCATCTGACCTTTTCCTTTTGCCCTAAATTTTTTTGGAACCCAAACCCAAGTAAAAGATTGTGGGTTGGCGTGGAAAATGAAAGAAACATTTCTTTCATTTTCCATTCCAATCCACCATTTCTGAATTGGAATTGGATATCAACACTGTTGATGCTTTCTTTCTTTTCCTCTTCTGAAAAACCACAACAAAATGGTAGAACGAAAAGGAAATGTTGTTCCTTGAATATTGTCACCTGAACGCATGAGGGTTCTTGGGTTGCCTATAACAAAAGAAATCTTTTCATCATAGATGTACTTTTATGGGCATTCTCTAGTTTGAATAAAGATTATTTCAATATATCTCTTGAGGATGGGGGTAATATTTGTGCTTTCAGATCGGCTGTATGAATCAAGAAAAAACTTACGTTTGTTTTTCTGCAGGTGAAAGGTTGGGACGCGGTATTGTTACTGATGCCATAACTACCCCAGTGGTTAACACATCTGCTTACTTCTTCAACAAAACTTCTGACCTTATTGATTTTAAGGTATTTACTGTTGTAGTTGATCCTTGAGTTGCTTACAGTGTGAATCAAAAATACAATCGCTCTCTAGTTCCAATGGAAAATTCCTGACCTGATAGGGGAAGTCATGACGACCCTAGCCACTTTCTTGGTCAATTGTCAGTTTTCGTTAGATATTATACTGGTGTACCATCAAATTGGTAGAGAGAATGTTAAGTACATCGTTGGTGAATTTGTTTATGTTCAATTTCACCTTATATATTTTGGCAGGAGAAAAGACGTGCAAGTTTTGAATATGGCCGCTATGGGAACCCCACTACTGTTGTTTTGGAGGAGAAAATTAGGTTAGCGTTATCTTTGGTTAATTAGTTTGTTTTCATTTTCTATTTCCGTCTGTTGCTTTTGTTTTCTCTAGTTGTCTTATGTTGGTACTTAAGGGGCAATTATTTTAGTAATGAGGTATTTGTATCTCTAACAGTGCACTTGAGGGTGCTGAATCAACCTTGATAGTGGCATCTGGAATGTGTGCCAGTACTGTAATGTTCCTGGCCTTGGTTCCTGCTGGTGGGCATATTGTTACTACCACAGACTGCTACAGGAAGACACGTGTTTTTATTGAGACAATACTGCCTAAAATGGGAATTACGGTACTTTCACTAATCCAAATGTTTAAGATACTTGGCATTCTATTTATGAAGTCCAGAAATATTACAAGATTTGAGTAAAGCTGTTGTTTTTATTTTGGTAATGAGACAAATATTATAAATTCATTTCGGTAACACTCTCCAAAAACTGTTGGCTACTAATATTATTGAACCATAATGTTTCTCTTTTGTTGAATTAGTCTAAGAGAAAAAAATGCTGATGTGTTTCATTACCACAGGCCACAGTCATTGATCCAGCAGATATGGGAACTTTGGAGTTAACATTAAATCAGAAGAAAGTCAGTATGCAAACACATTGTTGTGTATCACTTAACTATGCTGAAGTATAGAGTTGCGGAAGATAATTCCAATGACTGGCACCTTGTTCAATGCAGGTGGATCTTTTCTTTACTGAGTCTCCAACAAATCCATTCCTGAGATGTGTTGACATTGAGCTGGTTTCAAAGCTTTGCCGTGAAAAAGGAGCTTTGGTTTGCATAGATGGGACGTTTGCAACTCCTCTTAACCAGAAGGCCCTTGCTCTAGGGGCTGACCTTGTTGTGCACTCTGCTACAAAATTCCTTGGTGGGCACAATGATGTAAGTGGCATTAGCTGGCGTTTTAACAATTAATCAACTATGCTGCCACTAAGAAACATCAAACTGACTGCAATGCTGCGCTTCATACAGGTTCTTGCAGGTTGCATTAGTGGTCCTGAAAAATTAGTTTCAGTAATCCGAAACTTGCATCATATCCTTGGTGGTGCTCTCAATCCTGTGAGTTTTCTTAATTGAAGTACTGATTGACTTAAATCCCTGACTTTTTATGCTGCATATGTGTGTGTAAATTTTGGTGAAGGTAGAATTGCTTTTGGCGGGTTGACTGAGCATATTTTCATGGTGGGTCAATTTGGGCAGAGCCCAAGTCAGCCCATCTAAAAACTGGGCTACTTTGGACTTAGTATGTTGCCCAAATCGACCCATAAAAGAACTTGTCAAAATATTTATAATCTTTTTTGTTTGTTTGATATGTCTGAGATAGCCATATTAAAGAAAAAAGGTTATTAATAAATTATGAGAAAGTAATTTAAGAAATTAAAACTCGGTTAGAGTTGGGCGTGTTAAGCTGTGACCCATTATCTCTAAGCCCATCTTGACCCAACTATCCCAATTTCAGCACAACCTCCAGTTGACACCCCTAGTCACGTTGGTATGCTTACTTTAGCTTAAACGTTCACTAGGAGTCTTTATTCTTGTTAGGGGTTTGTATCCCGGGAGAAAATATAAAGAACTTTTAGTGTTAGAGAACCTAATTTTTTTAATATTGACCAGAGGTCTAGGGTAATTACGGTGTAGTTGTTGATGTTGTATGAAGTGTAACTCACATTTTAAGTTTGTATTTTATAGAAGTCTGATTCAATTTTCCCATCTACCAGAATGCTGCATATCTTATCATCCGAGGCATGAAGACGCTGCATCTTCGTGTACAGCAACAAAATTCAACTGCATTGAGGATGGCCGAAATTTTAGAGGCTCATCCCAAGGTACTCTTGACTTCAATAGCTTTGTTAGTCATGATTTGAAATTCACACTTTTTTAGAGCACAATTACCTTATTCATAGTCATGATATTTCATGTATATGAGAAAAGTAAGAATGTTCAACTTGATGTTGGTTAGAGTAAATACCAATCTTATGAGCATAACATTGACATCATGATCTAGTTCTAGGTTATAAAAGCTGGTTTAATCTTTAAAGTAGGTGAAAATAATTAAAACGCTGAAAGCAACTCAAGAAGAAGATGCACCATTATTAGTTTCAAAAAAGTAGAAGAAGATGCACCATCATTATGGATGAACTTTGTTAAGCCAGATAAACTGAACGATCTTTACTTTCACTCCTTTGTACCTGTAAATTCTGCTGTTAACATCACAAAGCTGTACTTTTTGGGTGATTCTGTTTTTTCTTTCCTTCATCGATTAACAAAGATTATTCTTACATCCATGGTTGCTACTTTGGGATGCTTCCTAGTCGTCCTCTACTACAACATGCACACTCACTAAGACAAATAGGTCGGAAACAAGTAAACATTAGAGGAAACATTCATAAGTGTTGATTAGTATCCGCTTAACTCTATAAAAAAATTCTATGTTACTTGTACAGTTACACTCCCTGTACAATCCACCTTAAGTCAGGTAGCTACTTCATCCTAATAATGCATGATTGACTCATTACTGAACATAAAAATTACTATGATACCACACTTCTAGCTTATCTATGAGCAGTTGCATTAAAGTTCAGAGGTCTTGTTTTTCCTGCGTTTAATTAGGATTTCTGCTAGTCCTGCAAGTGCTGTCATATCTGAATAAAATGAGTTGCAGGTGAAACATGTCTATTATCCAGGCTTGCCGAGTCATCCGGAATATCATCTTGCAAAGAAACAAATGACTGGCTTTGGTGGTGTGGTCAGTTTTGAGGTCTGTATTTTACTATGATCTTTTGTTAACCAAGAATCCCTGTCATTTCTCTCTATTTTCAGTATATTTAAAGGTTATATATTTTTTTATTATAAGGTTGATGGAGACCTCCTAACTACTGCAAAATTTGTGGATGCTCTGAGGATTCCCTATATTGCTCCATCGTTTGGAGGTTGTGAGAGCATTGTGGACCAACCAGCAATAATGTCTTATTGGTATGTCAACATTCTATTTCATGGTTACTTATATCAATAAAGTATATTCTATTCTGGGGTGAAAATCTGGAAGTATAGCTTTTCTATCAACTATTAATTAACATATCGAGTGTTGCATCAAGTCATGTTTTACATTAGGTCATGCAATTATCTTCTATATCTAAAAGCATCTGATCTAGTAATGAAAACTTGTGGATAACATGCTCGGTTTTTCCCGTAAAACAGGGATCTTAGCCAATCTGATAGAGCAAAGTATGGTATCTTGGATAACTTGGTTCGGTTTAGCTTTGGAGTGGAAGACTTTGACGATGTGAAAGCTGATGTTCTTCAGGCTTTGGATTCCATATAGGCTGTTTCACCTGCAACAATTTTTTTTCACGTGGTTCCATCCTGATTTGGTTGTTCGTACTTATGTTATTGCCGACTTCCATCACGTAGCCAATTGTTTGAATGTAATGAAAGGATCATCAAGTAGATGATTCAATCCCTTAAATTATTTGGATATTCTCATGTCGTTTTCCTTAACCTTTTAATTTCTCCAAGGATGAATATTCTCATGTCGTTTAAAGAATGCATTTTAAAGAAAAATGGCAAGGGGAGAAAATGAATTTGTGTTTACTGTGTGGGAGACTCCTTAGTAGTTACTAGTAGATTAGAAATATTTAGTCGCACTAAGTATTGAATATGAGTTGAGAAATTAGAAAAAATCCTGATGTTCTCAACGCACAATTTTGAATAATGTTACATACTTAAAGGTTGCCATTCAGAAATCACTATCATTGATTGACCTCAAAGTCGAGTTGTATGACAACAATTTCTAAAATATGTGTTGTATTGTTGTTCCTGCGTCTCTTGGGGGACAGAATGGCTAAGCTGACAGGACACTCAACTACAAGTTGTAATCGAATATTCTTTCAAAAGCCATGGTATTCTGCGCAATTGGATCGCTAGGAATTTCACATGTAAAAGTTAAAATTCATTATTTTATTTGTGACTTTTACTCACATTTTCTGTTGTAACATTATTGGACATTAGTTAGAACAAATAAGCTCGGCCCAATGATTTCGTAATTCTTTTACAAATTTAATTTTAGTTTTATATTTATTTACGAGATATATTTATTTATATATATATAATAATTTTCTTCTACAATAACAAATTTAATTTTAGTTTTATATTTATTTACGAGATATATTTATTTATATATATATAATAATTTTCTTCTACTCAATTTGTAGAACGACAAAGAGATCATTTTTATCCTTAAAAGTATTTATGATAACTTAAATTCTTTGTTAAAAACTTATAATTTGAGTTCCTTGGTTGGTGGGTGAGGGAATGCATATCCTGAACTCAAAATTGCTAATTGGTGTGAGAATCTAACATTTTGTAAAATTTTGTCCCATCTGTTATTGGATTTCTAAACTCCAAAAAGCAAAATTTTGTTTAAAATCAGTGTGTTTATTCGAATTTGTTTAAAATCGAGCGATTGGTGATATGAAATTCGGGAAAGAATTCGGCATCCATTTGGAAGAAACCCTACCTGAATGGAGGGACAAATACTTGTGTTACAAGCCTTTGAAGAAGCTTATCAAGCACATCCCTTCTTCCACCGGCGATAATCCACCTCCGCTACCGCCGCTGCCGCCCGCGACAGCGGCCGCGACCGAGCTGCAGGATTGGTTTATCAGAATTCTCAATGAGGAACTTGACAAGTTCAACGATTTCTACGTGGATAAAGAGGAAGACTTCATTATCCGTTTCCAGGTTTTGTTTTTTTTTTTAAAAAAAATAAAAATAAAAATCTACGCTATTGTCTGTTTGTAATTCTGAAATTGAATTGCTGGTAAATTTTTGTTTACAGATTCCCGTTAAAAAAATCAATTTTTGTTTTGGTGTGAAGAGACTGCGTGATTGTTACGCTTGATTAGTTTGATTAATTTAACTTGAACAGAATTTTACAGTTGATAAGCTCAGCTTTCAATTTCCTTTATTTCAATCAATTGGTTAATTACACCTTAATTCTGGATTAGTTGTGGTCAACTGCATGAATCCGTTATATCCATTGCGCTTTGTTTTAAGTCCTAAAAACCGAAATTTCATCAGAGTTTTTACTTATGATTTCCATAAATTGGATCAAGTTGTTAGCTTTAGATGGATCTGGGAATGTGAAGGTTTTAAGGAATTTGTTTCTGGTGTTTATTTGTTGTATTATTCGTAGCTTATTGTCGTAAAGAGGGATAAATGTACTGTCACTTCTGTGAGCGGCAATTAGTACGTGGGTGAGATAAAGGATGGAGGAATTGAAGAATAGATATTTTTAGATGTTCAAGAGTACAAGGATTTGGTAAAGTGACAAAGTCTCTCTTTTGGATAGATATGCTGCTGTGGTATGTGATATGTGATATTTGATGAAGTGTAAGTGGAGAAGGAAATCATTATATGAATCACAACAAAGGCCAAAAAATGCAAATGCAACTATGATGAACTTAAGAGCAATGCCAATAAATAATGGTCCCTTGTGGTCTTTAGATGGACGGTTCAAGTGATTGAGAGGAGATATATATACACCACATACCCCAAAAATAGAATCAAATATTTGGGTGCTGGTGGAGGGAAATGGTATGACAGGAGCTTCCTGGAGAATATTCTTAGTAAAGCTGGGGATATAAAAGTATCTTAATGGCATATTCCCCCTACTGCCTTTATAATTTGTTGAGCTGATTTGACCAAGGAAATGCCAAACACTAAATATCAGAATATCTCTGGCTTTCTCATATAACACTAACACCTGACTGAGCATATTACAACAACATACCTAGTGTAATCCCACAAGTCAGGTCTAGGAAGGGTAAAGCGTATGCAAACCTTACCCCCTATATGGGAAGGTAGAAAGGTTGTTTTCGATAGGCCCTCGGCTCAAGGAAAAGCATCTCGAAGTAGTTCGAAAAAGAAATAATGGAAGTAAAGAAATTGTGGAGAAATAGTATAGAGAGCATGACAAAATATTCTGAAAAAGAACAATAACTTCAACAAAATAGTGCGATAATCGAAGACAAGAGACAACAAATAGTAACAGAAATTGAAGGACAGAAACTACAAGAGAAGTACTACTACGACTACTAGTATGGAAGGATAAATGAGACAACACTCTACTAACTTTCTACCATAATCCTTGTCCTCCACAACCTCCTATCTAAGGTTATGTCCTTCGTAAGCAGCAACTTGTCTAAGTAAATTCTCTAGAAAAATATTTGTACTCTTAAATGTTCACTCTTCCTTCAAGTCCAATGAAGAAAATTTTCTATTAGGCAACTCGGAGTTAGGGTGCTTGACTAAACTGTTAGATCAAGCCACCTATGATCCTCCACACAACATGGCAACCTAGGCTTAGGTTGCCTAAACAAGCTAAACAAGCAGGACACCTTGCGAGCTGATCATTTTACTAGTTTCTTTGAAGCTTTGTTGCATCATTATTATTCAGCGTGGAGACTAGTTGGGATTGTTTCTCTTCTTGTCCTGCTACTTTTGATGGAGGCTGCCCATCTAATAAATATCAAAATTTTCTTGATCAAGTGTTGATAACTATCTAATTAGTTCTTTACCTTATAAAAATAAAACTATCTGTCAAATTATTTTTAGGATATTTGACCACACTTATCGGCATTGTTGCTGATGTGGCCCCAAGTACTAGATTAAATAAGAAAGACACTCATATATTGAATACTATAAGAGAAATATTAAATATTGCTATAGTTTATTGACTTTTATATGACTTCGATAACGTGGAACTGGTATTGTCTGTGTTGTACAGCTTTCTTCTTGTCTTGTTCAGACACAAAGGTAATGGATACAATTATTTAAATAACACTTCCATTAATAAAATTCACGATATTTAACGCAATCAGAGTATAAACATAAACCCAAATTCAAATTATTACTGTATGAAACACCTCATTTTTGTACTTACCATGTGAAATAATTAAATCTCACACCCACTAATAAAACTAAACATTCAGTATAAACAATTGATTCTCTCTGTTAAATATCACTTTATTCTTTAGATTGCCTTATAGTCAATGCTTCCCAGTCTGTTGCATATATTTTTACTCTAATTTAACTAAAAAGTGAAAAAAGTTCCATAATACTAACCTCTTGTACTTGCCCATATTACTTATATGGGGTGACTCCCTTCACTTGTGCCGTTTCCAAAGCTGCTCTCGATCCTCAAAGCCCGGTATCGGAGTCAACCCCTCCCTTGGTCGGTTCATGAGGTGTACTAGTAGTTAGGGAATTGCATGCATAATGAATACTTCACTTGGTTAATCATAAACTGAGACTAAGTTTCTTTTGAAAATGATTGGATCCAATGATGACCTTGGTCTTTAACTTTTTCTTCATCTGGATCAGAATATGATACATTTCAGAACAAATGGGGTGGGTTCGTAACTCTTATATCTGGTACCTGTGTCCGTGTAGGGCTTTGGGTGGAGCATGTCATCCGTCTTAGTCCAGGATTGGGATTGGTAGTTGGTGAAAGGAGTTATTATATGATATCTGGTGTCAGAAGTAACCAAATGCCTTTAACATATATATAAACATTTAAGGTTCATTGCTACACTCCATAATATATAATTATGCAGGATTTCTTTGTCCCATCAGCCTTTACTGCATAAGGCATCATGAGTAAATTATAGCATAAAGACAGGAATATGGCTATCATTCTAGACAACTTTGTTGCGTATTGTTACTGAAAGTGCAAACTAAAGTTGTCAAGTTTTAGTATGAAGCCCTTATAATTGCATATTCAATCTGCAACTGGCCTATTCAGGCCTGAATATACATTTAGAATAGAATTTTGATACAAACATTATGTAGTTTGCGATTGGAATGTGGAGTCAAGTAACTATCAAAATGTTTACGTTTTGGGTAATCCATAATGAAATGAGTTGTGGCAGTGGAAGGAATCCTGGAAAGCTGCGGGTGTGTTAATGGTGATGCAAGGACTGAAGAATTGTGGCAAAAATGATGGACGTGACTGGTGAATGTGAAATTAAGATTCTTTAAGAAGTAGCAAGGTGAGACGGGGGTGGCGGAGCTACAGTTCCGTTGGCCAACTAACAACAATCGTGGCTGGTGCACAGTGGAGACAACATGGTAAATGCTGTCTCTGGTATGGGGTTCTGTGATGCTTGAAGGTCTGCGATCGAGTGAGTTATTTGGTTGTAGAGGATGAAAATGTAATTTGTGGGCCTGGTGGCCACTTCAAAAGTGGTGGAGGCAGACAGTGGAATAGGATGCATCTTTCAGTTTGGAACTTATTGGCGCATTTTCTGAATTTTGACTCATATTCCACTATGGGAGTTTAGAAGGGTACTGAAAATGGACTGTGTTATCTTTTTCCTTATCTTAATGGAGAGGTAGGCATTGGAAGGATGCAAGAATGAGTGTGTAAGATATCAAACGTGGAAACAAAATGAGAGTCATCATATTGCAGTATTATTGAATTTTTATTTCTCAAAGATATTTGTAATACATAGCGAGTCTCAAATTGCTATAGTGTGGATTTTGATTTTTTTTCTCTACTTGTATAACAGGAACTGAAGGAAAGAATTGAACGTGTGAAGGAGAAGAGCGACGAAGATGGAGTTCTTGCAACAAACAATGAATTCAGTGAAGAAATGATGAACATCCGTAAAGACTTTGTTTCCATACACGGGGAGATGGTTCTTCTGAAAAATTATAGCTCATTAAATTTTGCAGGTATAGAATTTTTGTCTGTCAATTTTCACCTTGCACTTCTGAAATTTGTTACCCTTGATAGTTGTGTGTTTCCAGCATCATAGTGCTCTAAGGATTAGAGGAGAAATTTTACTGTGTTAAATACAATTATGACTAGTTTATTATCAAAATTAACCTAATTGATTAATCTCAAATCAGAACGCAGATCCACCTAATAACCCATATCCGTCCTGCCTAAAAGCCTCGTTAAATCAAGAAATTAGCTTTTATAATTTGATTACTTTCTATTGAAAATTTCAAAATTGAAGATAATTGAAGAAAAAGCTTCTCAAGAATTTAAAGATAATCAAAACATAGGAGTATTTGAAGCAAGAAAGAGTTCTATGTTCAGATGCATCAGATGGGTTTATTCATAATTTGCCACCACTAAATTTCTCAATTTCACACTCACTCTTCATGTAACTTCAATCCAAGTCCATGAAGATCACAAGAAGAATGTTCAGAGAACAAGATCAAGAAGCTGACATCATTGATATTTCTTAGCTAAGGAAGGACTTTGAAGTTTAAGAATGGAGATCGAAGACAAAATCGAATGATAGACAGAACATAAGACCTGTTGCAAAGATAAAAATGTATGAACTTTAAGAGAAAAAAGTTCAAAAATTTCAGCCAAAGAATAAGACCGTCTGATGAAAATTTTACCCGTATATTTGTTAAAATTTAGACGCTAGATTTGGATTCCAAAAGTTACCCTTTTTGACCCAAATTTTATTGTTGCATTTCAAGAAGCAGACTTGATTGTTAAAACTCAAGTACGAGAAAAGCTAAGATTGAAGAGAAGATTTTTAAACCACTAAGAAAAATGAAGAAGATGAAGATAGGGAACCACATTTAGACGGAGGCAGATATGGGTTATGGGTAGATCCGGATTATGAATTGAGATTAATTAATTAGGTTAATTTTAATAATAGCCAATAGGAACACGCCACGTAATAAATGAATTTCTTAATTTTATTTTGAAGTGGACCCTTAAAAATAAGGGTAGTTTAGAGCCAATACGTTGACATCAGGGGTATTTTGGAGCCAAAAGGTTAACTAAGGGTAATAGTTTAAGGGTATTTTAGGCCCTTTTCCGCATGCAGTTTAATGTTTAACACAATTCCTCCATCTCTGAGTTATTGTTTTCCCCAATATCCTTTAACCATTTTCTGATGATGATTTTTTCTTCCTTAATTCTCTTCCTCTACTTCTAATATCTTCTACCAGTTCACTTTTTCTTTCCTATTTTATACATTAATTCTTCGAATTGATTACACGGAATGTGTAATCTCAAGAGCCTTGTAGTTGATACAACAAGATGGTGAGGTTTTGGGATGAGACGAAGATGAAAATAGAGGATAGGATAGGAAGCTGGGAGAAGAAAAGATGACGAGATGATGTGGTGTGGGGATGGAAAGGGAGGGGTGTTGGAAGGAGAAAGAAAAGAAAGTAGGAATGCTTTGAGGGGACAACAGATGATGGGTATTAGAGAGAGGAATAGGGGTGATGTAAAATTATGGGAGCTACTAGCTCTACTCGGCAAACAAGGACAACTCTCACATAACTAGTCATACTTTAGTTTAACTTGAAAGTAAGATTTCTTGGTTTAGAGGTATAACTACCTCTGATTTATGCAAGGTCATGGTATAAGGCTTCTTGGTTTAGAGAGTATAACTACCTCTGATTTATGCTAGGTCATGGTATCTTCTCTAACAATTTTTTTGTTTCATTAGGACTTGTTAAGATCTTGAAGAAGTATGATAAACGAACTGGGGGATTGTTGCGTCTTCCTTTTACACAAGTTGCACTTCATCAGCCGATCTTTACTACGGAACCTCTGACGAGATTAGTCCATGAGTGTGAGGCTAATCTTGAGGTCTTATTTCCTTTGGAAGCAGAAGTTGTTGAATCAGCTGCCCCTGCAGATGAACAGATGGGAGCAACTTCTTCATATGCTTCCAATGTTCTCCCTGATACAACATTTCCACAGGGGGAAGAAAATGGGGATATATACCGAAGCACGCTAGCTGCAATAAGAGCCATTCAGGGACTAAAGAAAGCCAGCTCAACACATAACCCACTGTCATTTTCATCTATTTCTGGGAATCAAGATAATGATAGCCCAGGTGCTGTAACAGCAGAAGACTCCGATTCTGACTCATTGGTTGCCTCTCAGAATGGTGAAGAGATGAACCATGAAGTTTCCAGTTCACCAAAATAGAGTTGACCGATCTTGTTTTGTTTTGTTCATTATGTATAGTGCTAAAACTGTGCACTTTCTGCGTTGTGTGCTATAGGTCTGAATAACTGCTTACCCAATCAATAATGTAAAGGAATTAACTTTAAATGTTGTGGTAATCACAAAAGCTTGATGATCATCTACAAATGCCTATTTTTTGCAATTTCAGAGGGCAGTAAGGCACAATAATTTTAAGTAATGTATTCTGCCTGTGAAGGAGGAGAGTGAAATTACTTCACCGATGCACATTCTAGTCATTTTGAGCTGTTTATGGATCAGTCATAAGTATATATGATCATACCGAGTTAAGTATTTAGGTGTCCATGTATGCCCCAAGAATCTGACAGAATACAGTAATTGACCTGTCAATCAAATTTGAGTGAAAAGCTGGAGCTTCTACCAAAGAATGGTCGAAAGTTTGCCAAAAAGGCCAGATAGAAGTAAGTATTTTTAATTCTCTTGTTCTCTCACTTCTACGACTGTGATTTTTGTATTCCAGTGTTGCTTCTTAGCAAGGGCAGAAGATGAGTGAGTTGCTTCTCAACGGACTTTTGTGGCAATTCTATCTTTGCTGCTTTAGCATGTGTCTTCTTCAGCTGCATCTTCCTCAAAAGATGAAGTAGGTAACTCATTATATAATTACATGTCACACTATGTATTAAACTTTTCAAATAGTTGATAAACAAAGAAGTGTCATAATGGGGCTCACTGTTTTTTCCCCAAAAGTTTTCCATTGAACTAGTTTTCATTGCATTTAACCTTCTAACTTTATAATGTACCTTTACTTTATCTTTTTACCATTTTTATCAAGTATTGATTTAAAACAAATTGGACGAAGAAGATTCTATGGCATTTTCCATGTGACGGTACAATAAGAAATCAATGTAAAACTTGTGCAACTTTGAAAAGGGAGTAAAAGAAAACGGTTTTCCTCTAATAGCAACTGTAGAGACATGACATATAAGATCCCCAATAAGTGTAGTTTGTAAAAAGTTTATCATTAATACTATTGAAGAATTCTACTTTTCCCTACTTATGCCGTTTGTATATACTCCCTCCCTCTAGTCCAAATTAAGTCCATTGTTGGAATTCTTCTCATAGTTCAAAATAAGTGAATTGTTGGGACTTTTTTTCTCCATATTTACCCTTCATTTTGGGAGGTTCTTAACTACTTTACATTTTCTAGGAGAATAGTTTGGGAATAATCAAAAGGGTAATAGTGGAAAGTAGTTTTTGATTTATGTCCTTCAATATTTTTCTTAAGGGGTGTGCCGTACGCCCATACCCCAACAATTCACTTGATATGAATTAGAGGGAGTAATGTCCTATCCAGCCAAATGACTTTGCAAAAGGTATGCTTTTGAATTTTGGATGTTGATATAAAGACACAGCAAAAGAGAACTATTTATGGCATAGTATTGCTTGAAAAGTCTGGATTTTTATTCAAGTAGAGAAGAGAAAAATAGCTACTACTACAAATTACTGCAAATATTTCCTTCTGTGAACAGACAAAACACAACGAAAACATGCCAAGTTTTATTTACTATTCTAGTGATATGACATTAATCTTGAGCAGATGACAAAAGCACTCTGCTTAATCATCAGTGTTTGTAATGGAACAAAACACCAAGCACTGAGGAAAACATGCCAACTTTATTTACTATAACTTCTACTAAGGCATGAATCTGTGGTGCAGGTGGTAGAAGCATTCTGTTCAATCGTCAGAGTTTTGGCGACGGTGGCGATTCCTACAACGTTGTTTCTTCTCCTCATCCTCGTCCTCATCCTCCTCAGAGTCATCATCACCCTGCCGATTTATAAGATCAAATCAATGGAAGCTGAATAAAACTCTAGATAAGTGAGCTGAGAGCACAAAAGTGAGTTACATTCCATTTTAGTTACGCTATTCATTCAAAAATAAGGAAGAGTAGTCAGGTACTTACATATTTCTTGCGACCATAGCCTTCATCATCATCGTCACGCCTTCCATAGCTGGGTTTTCTGTAGTCCTCTTCCTCAGACCTTCCATAACTAGGCCTCTCAAATGATGTCCCGTACCCTTCACCCTCTGTTGTCTCGTAGTTTGAATGCCCATAACTAGTTGATTTCCCTCCATACCCACTGTCCTCTTCCTCTCCATAGTTTGTCTTCTTCCCATATCCACTAGAGCCGTATTCCGAGCTTTCCTCCTCGTACTCACTTTTTTTTTTATATCCTGATCCATATTCATCAGAGTCTGTTTTTCGTCCATAACCAGAGTTCTCTTCATACTCACTTTTTCTTCCATACCCTGATTCATACTCAGAGTCGGTCTTTCTGCGTCCGTAACCAGAACCGTATTCTGTGTTTTCCTCCTCGTCCTCACTTTTCCTTCTCTGCCTTGATCCATACTCATCATCGTCATTTTTCCTTCCATAACCTGATCCGTAATCAGAACTTGGCTCATTGTATTCCGAGCTCTCGTCATTATACTTCCCCTTCCGTCCATACCCAGATTCATCATACTCACTTTCTCCACCATAACCTCCTCCGCTAGGATGATTCATCCCAGGCTTACGACGAGTGTTCTCATCCTCATCCCCATCCCTAGATGGGCGGGAACGGGAGGGACGAGTCTTGGGCTTGGAATAGCTCTGGTACTCATTATCAAGAGCTTCATCACCATAGGCAGAGGGTTCGGCAGAGGAAGTGTAATGGGGACGATCATAGTCGAAATCATCAGACTCGGAAGACGTCAGAGGATAGCAAGTCTCCTCCGATGGTGGAATTGGACGGCCATATGTCAATTTGATATCGTATCCACCACCATAGGGTGTCTGATCATACTCATCGAATTCAGGGACATCGTCACTGTGATGGTGGCCTTTCGGGTAGTAAGACATGATCAGGTTTGTGGTAGTTCTCTCTGAAAGTTTAATTTCCTGTTTGATTAGAAAAGTGAAGAAGCTGGAAATGGTCACAAGAAATATGAGCAGTTAGTTAGTTAAAACAAAACATAAAAAGGGGGAAAGACGGTTAAGTCGTTGGATTGGGAAACAAGGTTGTTATTTGTTAAGGATCCGCACTACACGGCAGCTTGCTAAATAAACTCATTGTCAAGATTATTTATGTTATGTTATGTACCGCAATCATTCCGTGGAGTTATTTTGTCCGTTCACTTTTACTTATCCATCATATTCAAAATATACATTATTTTTGTGTGTTAGTTAACTATAGCCAATTTTCAATGCATTTGTCAAAGTATTGAATCTAACAAATACAGTAAAGTTAGCGTTCTATATATTTCTCCTTGAGGGGTATACTAAATTAATACTGGACAAGTAAAAATAAATTCCTTGAGGGGTATACCAAATTGCATCGGTCGGCTCGGTTCGGTTCGGTTTTATGTATTATCGGTTATATTTATCGATTTTTTATTTTTAAATGCGCTAAATTAATAATCAAATCAATAAGATAATTTTTATCTGTTTTTATCCTTAACGATTTGGTTTTCGGTTTAACCAATAAGAAAATATTTACAAAACAATTATATGACTTTTTTTTTTTAAATGACACGACTAGATAATAATGTAACTTTATAAATGCTCATAAAATAGAAACAATAATAACATGAAAAAAACTACACAAGTATAACACAAAGAGAAATTAAGAGGAATGTGATTCTTACTTTAGGTTTTGATATTTTGTATAATGTGAAGTTGTTAACCCAAAGTCACTGTGAAGTATGAATTGAAGGCTAAATGGCAAAGACACTAACTAGTAAGGTATTGAAACTAATATTTAATATTTATGTAGGTAAAAGTAGTAAATTACTACATTCTTAATGGGTTATCGATTTACCCAATAGCCCAATATTAAAAATTAATACTGAACCAAATTTTTTTTAATAAAACTATTAGAAACCCGTTAACCCAATAACTAAATAGCAATAAACCAATAACATTTTTTTTAGATTTATCGGTTGATTCAGTTTTTGTCCAATCCTTAAATACTGGGAAAAAATGGATAGAGAGTGCATTACAAAATCCTGCTATTACTAGGAAATAGCATCTTTGATTATTTTATGACCCAACAAAGTAAGAAATTAGTAATGTAATTTTTTAATTTTATTCCATCATAAATTAACTTATATGTAAAATCTGATATAAGCGTAAATAGTTACCTTATACAATTGAGTCATAGATCAGCCTTCCCAAAAAATTGTGGAGCCATAATCATCTCTCTTACCACTGACAGATTGCCACATGTAGATATGGCAATCTGTCCATATCTTGTTTCTCTTTCCTTTTGCAACAGTCCATCACTCTCCACCATTAATGGAATCCTTGTGAAAACCATTCAATTAAGTAATTGACACCTAAATGGCAAAGATTGCAGCAGCTCATACATCATGTTCATCTTCATTCCACAACAATTTGGTCCCCAAATTCAATAAACGAGGAATACTCTTCTTCTCCCAGGCAAAAAAATGGAGGTCACAGCCATTGATCGTGAAATCTCAGATGACAAATAATGCTACAACTTACACTTGCAGAATTAACACTGATATTCCTCTCTATGAAATTCCCAGGGTACTAAATTTTTGAATTCTCCTTTAATCTTAAATTGAGTCGGCTAATTTCTCACATTTTCAATTTTCTTCAACAACAAAAAATGAGTGTTAATGATATAATTACTATATTAGTTAAGTGACCGAGAAATCAACTAGTTAATTTGATTAGCCAATTGTATAATCTATATCATGTATTGCGTTCGCAGGCTTCGTTTGATGGATATCTGGAGAATAAGCCTAGAGTTTTCAAGGCCATTTTCCCTGACAAAAGAAGAAGCCAGCAACTCAATGAGGTATTATTCATCATTGGTTGACGGAACAATATGTGTTTCTCCTTTGGGCAATACTCAACTCATGAGCTAAATTTTAGGGTTAGAATTAGACCACAATCCATTTTCTTAACTTAGTATCATCACTCGATGTTTTTTGTTTGTTTTTGTGCACCAATATGTCAATCGTCAATTGTATATTCATCCTAACATCAGTAGTTATAAAGCTGTTGATGAACAAAATATCTGGTGGGAAAACAAAGCTATAGAGGTAATTAACAAGTAGTTCTCCTTCCATAGTTACTTGTGGAATTCAGCTACTGAGTTCATCCTGTTTCTTTGCATCTATAAGGTAATTTTGTTAGACACTCTATTCCGTTGATTTTTTACTGTACTACTCTCGACCATTACAACCTTAACTTCTAAGTATGTATATATGTTGGCTATCTAGGTGTTATCTCTTTTTGCCTCCACAAATTCATTCTGAACTCTTTGCGGATTGAATGTCCTCGGATCTTATGATCGTTATTTCTAACAAAATGCACAAGGTGGGTTATGTTTATATTCCAAATTGGAACTTTTCACGGCTCCTGGAATTAAGGAAAAGGCTCATGCCTATTCCTTCGTTGGTCTAACTATCACTTTATGCGTGGAATCTGACTGATCTTATATCTCGAGAGCTATCCTCTGATTAGACGGTGATGTTAGTTTGACAGCACTTCCGAATAAAGTTCCTTTTTCCTCTTTTATAGTGTCAAGAGATTGAATGATTGGTGTTCTCTATTCAGTCTGTTGCTGCTTTTCATTATTAAAACATATGCATTGTTATTATATATTATGATTGACTACTAGTTCCATGCAGGAAGAGTGGAGAATTCACATGCTACCCATAGAGTTCCTGTTGATCACCGTCTTGCCAGTTATTGATATGAGATTGAGATGTAAAACCAAAGGAGTCGAGTACCCACCGGGGGTCCCTCATAATGTTTCTAAGGTTCTTGAACTCGACATAGTAAGTGTCAAACCAAATCTTCACCGTGTAACCTTAATCATATATACATTTGTTGTCTTTGTAATGGAATGATGTGGAGTTGACGCCACATAAATAAATATGCAGATAAGATGGGAGCTTCAGGGGTTGGATGATGTGCTGAAGCCATCTGAGTTCTCACTTGGTGTAAAAGGCTCTCTTTACCCCGATAGAAATGGACCACGGACCAGGCTGAAAGGTCAACTACAGATGAGTATTAGCTTTGTTCTTCCACCCGTCCTGGTCCCTGAAGCTGTTCGTAGAGATGTTGCAGAGTCGGTTAGATACTGAACCTAATCTCTCTTTCGAAGGAGTTTAACAAAGACTAATCTTCTGCAATTTTGAACAGGTGCTAAGGGGACTACTGCAGAACATGAAGAGTAAAGTAAACGGTAGCTTGCTTTCAGACTACGCCGAATTCAAGAGGGAAATGCAGAACAACTTATTAGTCTGAACAGTAACTATAGCTATAGAGGTGCATGGTGATTTACACCAGTAGTAAGTATTCAATGGTAATCAAGAATGAAGAAATTTTTGTTTATACTTTTTGACTTGAAAAAAAAATAAAAAGTCTTTGGAGATGCGGGGGATCGAACCCCGTGCCTCTCGCATGCAAAGCGAGCGCTCTACCATTTGAGCTACATCCCCTTTGGTTACTTCATCAGAGAACATTAATTTCAAATTCAACAATGTAAAGAATAAACTGGGTACAAAAATCAGAAGTTGCTTATTGGTAATTAGCAAGAAGAAAAGAATGAAATTAGCAACTTAAATTCCCTGTGTATTTTGATTGAAATTAGTACTGAAGAGGAAGCCCTCCAAAGTGAGATTGAGATTGAGATTGGGGATGAACACATCATCATTGAGAATCACACTCAAATCATCATTACTACTACTAGCTTGATTCTTCATTAAATTCTTCTTCAAAACTTGCATAGCAGCCATAAATTCCTCAAGTTCTTGTAACCCTAAATTCTCCAAACACACATCTTCCCACCAATTACCCGAATTGAATCCATCATCTTCGCCTTTTTCAAATCGATGAATAACAGAGTCGACAGAAGGATTTCCGAAGGAAAAGAGTTTACCGGCAGGAGATTCAACAATGACGACGACTTGAGCACCAGATAATGCACTTAGTTCACTCGCTTTCTTAAAGAGACCTGCTCGACGCTTTGAGAATGTCACCTGTAAGCTATTCTTATTAGCAATCTTCTCTATTGGAATCTTCTGCCGTCCCCTGCTTCTTTTCTTCGCCGCCGCCGCCTGATTCTCCATTATTTCTTTCTCTTTCTCTCTTATTGCTAATGGGACTTGCCCTGAGAAGAAAAGACAATTACTATTACTTATATAACTTCATCATTAGTTTCTATATTCCGATCATGTAAGGGAAAACTTATTATACAAGGAACGGAACGGAACGGAGTATATATTTGGTAACTTCTAAAATTTAGAGATACAATTAAATTTTAATATTGATCTGTAATTTATAATATTTTTTATATTTTTTTAAAAAGTAATACATGTTTTGTAAAACTTGTGAATAATACACAAGAATGTAAAGTAAGATAGATAGAATGAATAATATCAAATTTTGGTCAGTATAACAAAACTTATACCAATCAAACAATACATGAACGTTTTATTATTCCGACTGGACTTTAGAGTTATGTAATTTAGTAAGATAGGTAGAATGAATATTGACGAGTTTTTTTTAGTAAAATAAAACTTGTAACAAATCAAATTATACATAATCAATTCGATATAACTTGATCGATCCGACATAACTTGTGAACAATTTAAGGTGGAATGATATTGTCCTTAAATTATTGTCTCGTGGAAAATTTGTCGCCTAATATGTGATTTTCAATTGTGAATATCTCTAATTAAACTATTCTCTATTCAACAAGGTGTTTACAACTTACAAAAAGGAGTAACGGTCTTTTTTTTATCCCTCTGCGAGTATATTAATAAAATATGTGTTTCTGGTCTGTTTATAAAGAAAATAAGGTACCCGCAAATATTAGACTACTAATTTAACATAACACATCAGTAATTAATTATGTAACCAGTTAATAATTCTTTGAATTGGTGACGATTTACTAGAAGAAGAATCAAAACTGCACCTTCAATTACTTGAAGGTTAAAAGTTGAATGTACTTCTGCATATATTGAAGGATAATCAGATTTTGTCCTTTTTTATTTTGATGACCGTAGTGTCCGATCCAACTTTCGTATACCTCGACTAATTCTGCGGGATACATGTCACCTCCCACCAACAATAGGTAGCAAAAAACTCTGTCCACTAAGATTAGGACAGATGAAAGAATCACCTAGTGTGTTTTTTTGTCTAAGTTTTGAAATCGAGACCTCATGATTCTCAACCACTACTAGGCCACACCCTTGGTGCCAGAATTTGTCAACATTTTAAGGAATGAAAAATGCAAATTTCCCACAACAAAATAAAAACAAAACAAGGTAAGAGCCAAGAGTTTATTTCTTCATCTGATCATCAACTAAACAACATGGTAATACACAACATGGTAATACAGTAAAATCTCCAATAAGGTTGTGATCAACGGTGATCATGTTGCTGCCTAAGTTACATATCAAAAAGGTTGGCGATGAATTGATGAGCAACGGGAAGAGTAAGTACAACGATCATTTCAACCGAAAAAATGGGGCAATCAAAATGTTTTCATTCAAAAGCATAATCACACAAGTAGTACCCGGGGATTGTGCCAATAGAGATGGCAAATTATTGAGCCAAAATCACTGTTTCTTTTTCTTTATCAACATTGAGACGATTAAAGAAAAAACTAGTGCTCATATACACCATTGAATAAAAGAATATGAATTGGTGATGCAAATCCAAATGTAGGACTGTCTCACAGGCCATCGCTGCATCCCAAGTCGTTCTTGCTGTGTATGTACATGTCATTGAAAGACTCGCAGGACTTGATCTTCTTGTGTTGCGGTAAATGGAACTTTGGCTCTCTTGGCATGGTAGGATTCTTTGCTGACCTAATGCAGACCACCAAATTTCCCATTTAGAAAAAATGCTCGTCTAAAAAGCTTGCAGTTAAAGTAAAGTTGGAAATTTGTTACTACCTTCTAGGAATGAAAGGCCTGTCAAAGTAGGGCATTGGTTGAGCTTTCGGAACAAGTTCCTTTCTTAGCCTCCTAATTTCTTCTTCCTCAGCCATCTAGAGAAGGTAAGTAATGCAAGATATAAATAAGAATGAAGTGCAAAATTGCATTCATGCATTTCATCCCAAAAATGTGCTTGGCTTTATTACCTTCTGTAGTCTCTCTCTTTCCATTTTGTATTGTTCAATATAGCTCAGTTTTTCTGCTACCTGATACAAATGCACTTTCATTGGTTATTTCTGTACTATGCAAGCATTTCACTGGAAGAAATTTGTTTGGGTCCTCTTATTGGTGCACTTTCTTAGGGAATCTATTTACACAAGACATACATTTACATGTTCCGTATGAAATATTCTTGACAAAACAAAATTCGAGATAATATTCATAACAGCATTTTGCACGAAGATATATTAATCTAGGTTAATCAATGACCAAAGTTAATAAAGAATAAAAGAAGTTTACCTGATGGTCAAACTCAAAACGTTCAACAGCCCTAATGTCACTGTGCAGCACCAGATCAACTGGCCTTGTGATCTCTTTTACCGGAGGCTTTGACAAACACTGAACAGTTGAAAATGGAGTAATTCAGTTTTGTTTTCATTGGCTGACATATAATCCCAAGTGCAAAAGATATGTGCGTAGTTGAGAGAGGTAATAATAACATGCACTTGGCTGACGTATAATCCCAAGTGCAAAAGATATGTGTGTAGTGAGAGGTAATAACATGAACTTCCTACATCATTTTACTTTAATTTCTCTTTTATTTTGGTTCAGAAAACTCCAGTCAGCAAAATATTAGATCACAAAGATGCATTTCCTTTTAAGTTCTGCGCATAGTAACAAGATAACCTTGTAGATCAATGCATTCACATATAAAGTACTTATTAGAAATGACTACGGTGAAAAGCTTATGCTACCTCTGGCTCGTCTGTTGTCCATGGAAGGCCTTGTGCAATTGGTATCCTCTGTTTCTCCTCTTCCTCCACCATTTGTTGCACTTTCTTAACAAATTCTTGCTCCTTGCTTTTTCCCCTTTCCTGCAGCAGCAATAGCCAATCTAAGCAACTCCTCAAGTAAATTGGTAAATGATTAATTGGATTTAACATGACACCCTAAATTGAAAAGGTTGATATATATGCGGTTCAACAATGAAAGGACACAATTAATTGGTGGATTCAAAGAATAGGAAACTATACAAATAAAAACCACCTAGTGATCAGGGAACAATGACCATTATGAATGTCAACAACAAAGGGAGTTTAAAGACCGATATTCTGATTTTCTTGTAGCCACAAAATTCAATCCATCTTTCATAGTCCAGTCTTCGGAAGCAGTCTCTCTTCCTCCACGAGGTAGAGGTAAGGTCTGAATACACTCTCCCCTCCCCTCCCCAGACTCCACTTTCTGATTTTCTTGTAGCCACAAAATTCAATCCATCTTTCATAGTCCATTCTTCGGAAACAGTCTCTCTTCCTCCACAAGGTAGAGGTAAGGTCTGCATACAATCTACCCTCCCCTCCCCAGACTCCACTTTGTGGGATTGCATTGTGTATGGTGTTATTTCTATTTAAATAATTATTTGTCGAAATAGCACTTCCTCAACCAGATATAATGCTACTGCATATTTGGTCATATTTGCACAACAAGCAACCAAGTAGGTAATGCTAGAGCAACCAAACACAGAACTCACAAACCTCAGTTATAAGTTTGAAGGGCTTCTGGGAGGTCGGTTTGCGATGCCTTCTCTTCCAGCTTCTTCTAGGAAACGTGCCTATTGATTCAGCACTCTGCAGCATTACAAATGAAAATAAATCAATAGAGGCCAACACAAATTGCTATTGTCTAACAGTGATGGATTATAAATTCTTACATCGCGTCTGCTTCTTTGACCACCACCTGAAGTCCTGCTTGAAATACTGAAGCTTCAAATAGCAAAAATAAGTAAAAAAATTCATCAGCACCCAAATGAGGGACAAAAGAACAACAGCAAGCAAAAGTTACATTCCATGTAAACAAATAGGAATCTACTATATGAATCTACCATATACAAGCTCAGATAAAGCAGGGTTAAAAATCAGCTTAAGACTAGTTGATATATAGTGAATCCTTATAATATTGGAAAGTGAAACAGAAAAGAAAACGAATCAGTGGTGTTTCGAGTACTAACCATCCATGGCTGCTATCCAATGAGGAGGCACGACGCGAATCCAAGCCTAAACTCTCGGAGGTGAGGAAAAAATCTGGTGGACAAAACGAAGAAGAAGATACCTGTGTCTCAGGAATCACGGGGGGCTGTAAGCCAGGCAATGCCCATTGTTGTTCCTTACTAGACTCTTCTTCCTTTTCATCTTTTTCCCCTTTCTCCTCACAGTCATTTTTTTTGGGTGTTGAGAGAAGCTTCTCAAAAGCCTTAACAAGATTTAACACTTTCCCAGAACTAGTTTCAGGTACACTTTGTCTTGCTTCTTCCAACAACCTCTCCCTCCCCCTCTTTATAGTCCCAACAACACTCATTCCACCCGAACCCACGCCTTCCTTTGATGTTTCCGCCAATTCAACGAATTCACCCTCAGAAATTGAAACAGGAATTGTTGCCTCCTGGTTGTGCCTGACTGGCAAATCACCAAGACACCCAGTAACAATCTGAACGTTCGAAATCAAGGACTCGTCAAGGCGATCCAACTTCTCTATTTCACCCTCCTCCTCCTGTTCATTTCCACCACGATTCTTGAAGAACTCTTCTTGAGAAGCCCTGAGAGTCTCGTAAGCAACACAAAGACACTTCTTTTTCTCAACACCAACCTTATTACACTTACAAACCATTGCAACGTTCACATCATCTCTATTAGACTTCTTCTTCTTGGCGATAACAAACTTCCTCTGACGAATTTTGTTTTTGGGTGAAGGCGAAGTCAATTGACTTGTATTAGGGTTTCTGGAAACTGACTTTTGGGTTTTCATCGACGATTTGGGCATCATTGGTGATTTACAAGATTTTGAAAAACCCGGACTGTTTTCGACATTGGGGTTCAAATTTTCGGTATTCTTGGAGCATTTCTTAGGCGTAAGCCTAGTGGATTTGCAGTTGGAATCCATCAGTCACTGGGGAAAAGCAATGTGATTGTCGCCGGAAAGTTGATCGGAGTTTGGGTTTTGTGGTATTGCTGATTGGCTAGGGTTTTCTGGTTCTTGCATTCATCAATCGACGAGAAAAAGAAGTACACGTTGAGCTTTAGACGCTCTTCTGCTTTGTAACGGCTAGTTTTTTTTGGAATTTATTATTTTTCTTAAAAAAACATTGGATTCGTTTTTTTAGATCATAATAATCAGTTTGCAAATTGGACCGTTAAATTTAACTTGTGATGGGAAGGTTGTCCCAAAAGAAAATGATTTTATTTTAAGAGACACAAATTATGATTAACTTATATACTAATAATAATTAACCATTGTCAAGTAATTAAGGTTTATTTAAGGCTTCATAATGGTCTGTCCGTTAAACTTGGCAAGACAATATTTAGAAACTTGAACTAAGTCATATTTTAATTAAGGCATAATACAAATTTGGCATCAGTTCACATTTATGTCCTCCAACTTTTTGTGTGTATAAATGGACACTTAAATTTGTATAAAATTGAACAAATAGACACATGTGTTCCATGTGTCAATTTGAGTCCAACGTGTATTATGAGACATACAACTTTTATGTCTACTTATTTAATTTTATACAAATTGAAGTTAGTGCTCACCCAAAGTTGAAGGGCATAATGTGAATGAGACCAAATTAAAAAAACACATTTATATATTATGTGTTTAATTAAACATCTTAATTCCTAATAAAGTATTCCAACTAGATATTTTACATTCAAATTTTGAAACGAAAACATTGTGTGTCCTCTTTTTATATTAGATAATTAAATTAACCACATAAAATGTCATTTCCTTTAATTATACTCACTTCAACCTCGAGTAAAAAGAGAGGAAGAAATAACAGGAAACCATGCTTAAAGCGCACATATGCTAGAATAACTTGCACCAAAAACTCAAACCAGTTTTAGGTACACTTCGCAGATTTGCAGTACAGTACAACGAAGGTAAACAAGTTTTGTCAAGCTACATATGGAACATTTTTAAATACTAGCTGTAACTAAGACATCCAGATAAACTTTAGGTAACACTAACTTGCTGCTACTACAAGCAACAAAGGTTCCCCTTGATACCTACAAAACGGAGTTCGTTGACTTCATTCAGCAAAAAATGTGAGAGTAAGGAACAATATATATACAAGTTTGTTTCATCTTATATTTCATCTTTTATATCTTCGAAAGGCCATTGTAGGACCACGAGCACTGCCTTTCAAGGCTCTCGCTGACCATGAGCTCTTCTTCACAGAGCTCCACGTACCCCAGCTACTTTCTTTATGTGACTGTTCCTGCTCCCCCTTAATGGTCTCACTGTGTTGTTCCCAGAGGTTAACTCCTCCATTTTCTGCAAATAACATTAACACCTGGTTATGAAATTCAACACCCAATGAATTCATAATACAGTTATGAGTTATGATCAATCATCAAGGAGTAAACAGAAAACATCGTCTCACACCTATATGAACAGGATGAGTTTGTTTTCCGTAGTTCATCTCTACAAACAGTCAAATTATAATGACTCAAACGGAAAGGAAAAGTAACTTGGATATAATGAAATCTCCTCCAGCTAACTCCACTACATAACCAGTGCAATAACAATGATAATTACCTATAGCTGGGCAATTAGTTTTCTTCTCAACAGCATTAATCACTGGATTTGATTTGTTTGTAGCAGGACCTTCACTGGGCTGAGCAGAAAGTCCTGCTACAGAGTCTGAATTACCATTTTTGACAAGGCGAACTTCATGAATTGACGGTAAAGTTATCTGCAAGAAGATGCAGTTTATTATTCCAAGTTGTCGCAAGAAGGCCTCTGCAATTAATTGAACATAAAAATAGCACTGAACTGTAATTAACTAGACTTCCTCAAATTTGGGTTCGAAATTCCCAATTCGTGACATCCACTCAGACAGGATGTAAATTCGATTTCACTCAGCCCAAGCAACTCCAGTGATCCATCTTCCTTACAAAATGGAGTTATCTCAATGTGACTTATAAGAAAAAACTGGAGATAATCCTAGTTTAATAACTTTTTTAGGTCATGTGGCATAAACTTCTATACACATGAGTCATCTTACATGTCATTTATGCTCAGCTTCAATGAGGATTCTTCTCCACACATTGATTCTTTAATGGTGCACCTTAAAGATAATCATTTGTCCTTCATGAAAGAGAGTTGTCGCTTATTTCTTACAAAACATCATAAAGATACTGTATTCCAGATCTGTTTTCTCCTTATATTAGCATCTCTAATTGTTAAGCTTGAATACAAATCTCAAAATGACATTCAAGACAAATTTTACACTGGTGACTTGACAACTCTACTTTTTGTGCCTAAAACTCCTCCTTTGAATTTTATATAGAAATTCAAGAGAAGTAATTGCAAGAACATCATGATACAAACTATAGCCGAACCTACCTCTTGCACTTGATCATGCTGCATAGCTTGATCTGCATTAACCAAAAAGAATTCAGACACTAGAGTTCTTCCATATTTTTATTTTTATTGATAACCAGAGTTCTTTCATATTAAAGAATGCAAGACTGTAACCATGGTAAAAGAAGCGGTTAACCCAAATTAATATTTTAAAAACTGGAAGGATGAAGAATAGCATCTAAAACTCCTTCCCCTGAAAAGTGGAGAACAGTTGAATCATTAAAAAAACAAACAACCTGGAACAATTTCAGCCTCCATATCACTTTGTTGTCTTGGTTTTCCACATAACGTGCTTTTTTCATTCACCTGCTCTTGTTTATTCGTACCTCTACCCTTATCTTCTTCCCGCAATTTCTTCCAGTGCAGCTACATGTGAGACACTACTTTGTCAACAGAAATGAGACTATGCAGAAGAATTAAAACATTTGTTCAAGACTGATCACTCACAAGTCCTTTTGGTTGGCCAACCACCTCTTGATATTCAGTTTTGCTTTGTTGCTGCTTCCAGTTCCTCTGCAAAGTCTATCATATTAGTTTTCGATTCATGAATCAGAAGCAAAAGCAAGAAGTACTTCTCGGTATCTCACTACTCACACGTCCCATTGGTCTGCCATCAGTCTCACCATTAACATGCCACTTTGAGTGCAATTTACCAGCTCTTCTTCCACCATTAGCCTGCACTTCCTTCCAGTTTCGCAGCAAAAATTTTCCGCTCAAATATAACATACCATGGAAACAACAGTTGGCATATCTACTTCTTAAAAAAAAAATTGAGAACTAAAAAGAGAGGCAAATATCTGCATCTTATAATTAACTTACAAGTCCCTCTGCTTCAGAAGCTGCATTCTTATAAATTTTGACCATCTCTCGCAACCATTGCCTTTTTGCATATTGTTTCCGGGCACTTCTACTCGGGCCCTGAGAGAAAGAATCAACACCTGAGCACTACAAGATCTTTAGGCAAATCTTCCGAAGGAAAATTGAAAAATACGATCAACAATGAAATATAATGGAAACTATTTGTAACAAAGCTAACTGGTCATATGATTAAAGAGAGTATTACTTGTGAAATACCCCTACAAATTTCTCTCCTCAAGAAGATCAATAGTGAAATATATTGGAAACTATTTGTAACAAAGCTAACTGGTCCTATGATTAAAGAGAGTATTACTTGTGAAATACTCACAAATGGAAGTCTGACATAATATGTTTACAGGAAACGAAAGTAGAAGACTGGCCAACTACACTTATTCATCATATATGGTTGGACTGAGTTAAAACCCAGTGGCACAAGGAGAGGGATGACAGTGTTGTGGGACAAGTGACAATGTACAGATATCCACCAAGGCTCTTATTCTATCTCATGTATGCCAGAATCTCTTCAAGAGGATTTTAGTTGGTGTTTCACTGGATATATGGGCCTCACACCAATCCTGAGAGAGAAATATCATAGCATGAAATAGGTATAAGGGGATTATGGCGGACCATTGGATCTTGGGGGGTGACTTTAACGTATGCAGATATGAAAACAAAAGGCTACATTATACAAGGAGAACTGAAGTCATGAGAGATTTCTCAGCATTAATCCAAGATCTGGTTTTGATTGATCTGCCATTACAGGATGCCACTTTCACTTGGGTTAGAGATGAAGCACACATACGAGCCTCCAGAATTGATGGAATCTTGTTCTCGTCTGAATGGGATGATAGATTTTACTTAATTAAGCAGGTAGCTCCCCCGATAGTTTTATCAAGTCACAGACCTTTGATGCTAGAGACTGGTGATTGGGAGACGGGCCATTCTTGTTTTAAATTCGAAAACATGTGGCTATAGGCTGAGGGCTTCCTTGATAAAGCAAAGGAATGGTGGCAAAGTTACACAATTAATGGCAGTCCCGACTTCATACTTGTTCAATAGCAGAAGAATCTCAAAAGGGACATCACAAACTGGAATAAAGAGGTCTATGGCAAGGTAGAAAGTAAATTAGGAGCATTCTAGTTGAACTCTCTGTGTTGGAACAGAGGGGGCTAGGCGACTGGCTCTAAAACTGCAAATCAGCACCTGGTCAAAGCTGTGGAAACCTCATGGAGGCAAAAGTCAAGATGTTTATTGTTGAAAGGAGGCAGGAACACGTACTTCCAGAAGATGGCCAATTCTCACAGGAGGAGCAACTGTATTGACAAGCTCAGAGTAGGTGATGCAATTATTGAAGATACAGACTATCAAAAGGGAAATCCTACCCTTTGGGATGGCCCAGTGGTTTGGGCTTGGGACTTCCATGTCGGAGGTCTCAAGTTCGAAACCCCTGGGCCTGATGGGTATACTATGGCATTCTATCAGAAGACTTGGGAGTTTATCAAAGTTGACATAATGAATGCCCTCAATCACTTTCATCAACATTGCCACATGATTAGGTGGACAAATGCATCTTTCATAACTCTAGTGCCTAAGAAGAAAGAAGTGACTGAACTAAGAGATTACAGGCCAATTAGTCTAACTGGCAGCGTATACCAAATTGCAGCCAAAGTCCTTGCTGAAAGACTCAAAACTGTCATGAGGAAACTAGTCTCTAACCATCAAAGTGCCTTCATAAAAAATAGCCAGATCACTGATGCTGCACTCATAATGAAGTGCTGGATTGGAAGCTAAAAAGTGGAGAACCAGGAATAATTTGTAAACTAGACATTGAGAAAGCTTTCAACCAACTGAATTGGCCATATCTCATTGCTTTGCTAAGAAGAATGGGATTTGGAGAGGTGGATCAGATAGATCAAATTCAGCATCATGGCAGCGAAATACTCCATCCTCATCAACAGGAGTCCAGTGGGATTCTTCTCTCCTTAGAAAGGCCTACGGAAAAGTGATCCACCATCACCATTTCTCTTCATACTTCCATGGACGGTCTTAGCAGACTGTTGCACTGGCTTAATGGATTTGATGTGGGAAGAAGTCCAGGGAATTCAGTCAATATCTCCCACCTACCGTATGCCGATGATACACTATTATTCTGTGGGGTGACACAAATCAGGTGCTCTACCTGAACATCACTCTGCTCACTTTTGAGGCTCCATCAGGACTACACATCAACTTGCTCAAACGTCTTATATCCTGTTAATGAGGTACCCAACCTAGGTGATCTAGCAGAAATCATTTGTTGCAACACTGGACTGGATCCTTCCCAACCACTCTATTTTGGGCTACCACTAGGTGCAAAATTCAAAGTTGTAGACTCCTGGAATGGAGTGGTTGAGAGTTTGAAAGGAAACTAGCCTCATGGTAGTTGCAGTATCTTTCAATGGGTGGAAGGCTCGCACTTATTAATAGTACACTAGATAGCATCCCAACATACCTGATGTCATCATTCCCTATTCTAAATAAGGTCCTAAAGCAATTAAACAAAATCAGAAGGGACTTCTTGTGGCAGGGAAACAAGGGTCACAACTACCACCTGGTTAAGTGGTCTAAATGCACTATGCCTAAGCTACAGGGTGGTCTGGGTATCAAAGATTTGACTACACATAACAAGAGCTTACTAGTGAAATGGCCATGGAGATATGCACAAGAAGGCCAACCACTATGGAAAGAGATAATCAAAGCCTAGCATGGAATTCACAGTCACCACTACGCTTTCCAGAGCTCCACATGGAGTTGGACCTTGGAAACACATATGCAAACTCTGGGATGAATTCAATCAGGACACATACTTGGTACCTGGCAGTGGGGCACACATCAAATTATGGGAGGAAAAGTGGCTTGGGAATAGTATGCTAAAGGAGAATTACCTAAGCCTCTATCGAATCTCATGTGATCCTACCTCTACCATATTCCTATATAGAGAAAACAATGCTTGGAGCATCCTATTCAGAAGGAATTTGCATGACTGGGAGTTTGAAGATCTGCTGAGCCTTTGTCAAGACTAGAAACCTGTCAAGTGAATGCCCAGAATGTGGACCAGTTGAAGTCGGGAAGCTCTAAGGAAGGGAACTATTCTGTCAAAGCAGGTTACTCCTCATTAGTCTCACAGAATGTGATTCTGCAGAGCTGGCCATGGAAGCTAATCTGGAGAACCAATTACCCCCTAAAATCATATGTTTTTGTTGGATTGCACTATGGTAAGCATGCCTCACACATGAGAACTTAAGGAAAAGAAAACTCCAAATTATTAATAGATGCTACATGTGTCATAATAGTATAGAGACCAACTATCATTTGTTTCTACACGGCACAGTTGCTATAGATTTATTTTTATTTTTGATAAAAAAATAGTTGAAAAGAAAGATGTGGGGAAAATGATTGTTGAAAATTTCCACAGTTGCTACAGATTTATGGAGTATGGTCTTCTCTATTTTTGGACTAATTGGGTCATGCGTCAGAATACTAAGGAAGCCTTTGAAAATTGGCGCACGTGGAAAGTTGATAGAGCCATCAGGAAGATTTGGAGAATGATCCCTGCTAGCATTTTTTGGGTTTTGTGGACAGAAAGAAATAGGAGATGTTTTGATGGTGCATCAACTCCCAATCAATCTATTAAGGTTAGGTGCTTAATGTTTCTGTCTAACTGGCACAATTTGTTGCCTGTAGATTTTCATGACAACTTTTTGCTCTCTGTTAGCTCCCTGATTCTAGAGTAGACTGCTTATGCTATGGAGCTATCCCAGTTTAATATTTGGATGCAATATCTTTTGTAATTTTGCATCTTCTTGGCCATCAATGAAACGACTAACTTCATCAAAAAAGCTATACTAGCCAACAGATCTGACAATGCACTATAGCATTTGATCATGTCAGGTGACTTTATGATAAGAACAAGTGTCACTTTTAAGTAATACTTCTAATACAGTGCAGTTGCAGTATTAATCTACACAGTTTCACACAATTTTCTGAAATAGCTCCACCAACTGTAGGATTATCTGTTGTCAATTTCTCACAGAAATGTATGAGAAAAGTTGTAGAAATGGACCTTTTTAACTTTCTCAGGCTTGGTGGTTGCCTCAACATTCTCCACACCCCTCTCTTGAATCTCATTACTTCTATAGAAAACAGAAAAAATGTTCAGTAGCGACCAAGATATTGGACATCTCTGCATGCATAAAAACAGAACAGGATGCACTTGCAAATGCCTAAGTCGTCATAAGAGAAGTAACTTTAAATATAAATTTTCCTGGATCTTGCACTTTACATTAATAAGATTGAACTTGTCAAGCAACCGTAAAAACAAATATCAGATTAGGGACAAATTACTTGGAATTATTATGAAGAAGATAAATTCAAGATTTTCACCAGCAGAAGATGGACAAAGATAAACTTGGGCAACTTACAAGATGCCCGACAAGGAAAGATGGGGTATTCAGGCTCTCATGCAACAGGGCTCTAATGTTGTATTAGTACCTATTAATTTGGTATTCACGTTCAAACACCAAAATCCACACTCTGTGCAAGGAGTGAGCAACACTTAAATGACACACAAAACAATCAAAATACATGGGCAAGGAAACACTCATCGAAATGGAGACAAGCAACACCTTCAATTTTGTTATTGATACTAAAATGGTAGCAGTGGAAAGGAATAAACCCTCAACTAAGTGGTATTGCGGGAAGGAATATACCCTCCAAGTAATGACCACAGTAAGGATTTCAAACAAATATACCAAGAAAATGGGGAGAAACTGGCCAAATAAAGAAATAATAATCTAAAATAAACTGTAATCATGCAAGAATGAGATTGAAACTTCCAATAGTCGTACTTCTTCATGCCTGAAATACTTTCATTAACCTTGCTACTTTCAGCACTTCCTTTGATATTATCCACATCTTTGCTATCCGGATCAGCTACCTTCTTTTGCTTGCAGTGACTCTTCTTGCTTGTAAGACCTTGTTGAGATTTCTTGGTCTGCTCATCAACCTTCTCAGCAACTTCAGAACAATGTTTCTTTTTCCTGTGAAGTAAAAAGATTCAAGAAGTCAATTGTGAGCCTTACAAAACCCATGTATGGGCAAATCAGAATCCCCAACCAAGTGATCAAGAAATTACTTCGAGCCAGGAAGTGTTTGTGAAGCCTTCCTTTTCTCGGAGATAATATTACAACCCAATGAATTTTCCAGACGTGAACTTGAAACTTTTGTTGGATCTGCCCCTTCCTCATCTTCACTCTCATAACCTCCAGATTCATTGTCAAACTCTTTATTCGCCAACAGTAAGTGTCCCGTGTTTACAGGTTGCTTCTCAACAATTCTGATATTCTCAACTATACTTGGTGCATCATTTCCTTCATTGGCCAAAACACCTCCTTTCTTCTTCACACTAACATATGAGTTTCGAGAATATAATTTTTATGAATAGAATTAACAGTAATAATAATAAGAAGAACAATTTTTAAAAAAATGACAAAGCTGCAATTTAGCAAACCTGACTATACATTTATCCTTCAAGATACAAGTTGATTCAAAAGGAGGCAAGAGAAAACCGTCCATCTGCACGTATATGACAGGAAGTGAGCCACTTAACAATGTAGTGTCATAGAAATGTTAATTTGCAGCAACAGAGCAGCCAGAGAAAGATCTCCATCTCCAAGTTCAATCAACAATGTCACTAACCAAGCACTAAAGGCTGTGGCTACTGGATAGCGGTCAATGAAATAACATGGGAAACCATAATTTCATACCAATCAGAAAACAAAGAACGTAGGTGATTTCTCCATTTGCCTAAGCCTCAGTGGAAAAATTAGCAACTAGTTAAAGAATGTAGCTGTTAGATAGTTTGTAATATATAAAGGTCTTAAATTGAACACACAAGTGTATGTAAAAGAACATGACTATTCTGAAAAATCATCTCTTTTTAGTTCTATAAATACAAGGACTCTCGAAGTAGCTTAAGAGAAATCTGCAGGTATAAACATGGGCTTTACTGTATGAAACTCCTTGTATTTTTCCTAATATGTATACGGACAAAGTCATTTCTTCTTCGATAATGTTTCCTATTTTTCTAACAGTAGCTTACTCAGTGAAAGTGCACGCAAGCTCAGTGAACCACTCTACTTCAACTAGTACAAAATACTGAAACCACAAATCATAAAGCAGCAAAAAGGAATCAACTAAAAAAACCCAAAATTGAAGTTAGAGAACATACAGAGAGGAGAAGGCCATGCGGACAAGAGCTATGGAGTTGAAAAGTGCGGAGAATATGAGCGGAGAGATCAGAGATAGTTTTGTTTAGCAATTGGGGTTTGAGAAGAAACCAACTGCACCTCAGACCCTCTGATTTCTGTAAATCAGTGAGAATGTTCGGGTCCTCGAACGTCAATCGAAGCCTTACGCGCTCCATAGATAAGGTTTCTTCGATTACACACTTGCAGGTTTTGGGATTCCGGCATCAAACTCCTCCTGTGGCCTAAGTAAAGTGAACTTCACCTCGAGATTGTTAAATTTATTTGTCTTCAGTAGCAGCATATCAGTGCCATTTGGCAGTGTGTAAAACAATAATGATGAAGACATTAGTAATATTGATAAGTATTAGATAAGTATTAATTATATTTTTATTATTAGCTATATAGACAAATATACCTCGAACTATCATAAATGATATGCAGATATCATTCGTCATATTTTTGGGACATTGATGCCTCTTTCGTCCAAAAATTAAAGCATATATGCTCTTCACTCTAACGGAAGACTAAATAGGGACATGTGGCTCAATCTTACCCATCGAGCCGATGTCGGGACGATGGATAAGATTATGACACGTGTATGTCCGTTAGTATAAAGAGTATATATGCTCTAGTTTTTGAACGTCAGGGGCACCAATATCTCAAAAGTATAACGAAGGGTATATGCATACTATTTAAGATTGTTCGGGGTATATTTGTCATTTTTCCCTTTAATATATCAAAATAATATTGTTAGGGTTTTTCATGGTTATGATTAAAAAATCAAATTGCACCGTAATTTGAACTAAATCGATTTAAAAATTGGTATTTGGTGTGGTTTGATTAGGTTTGGTTTTAAATTTTAAAAATAAATACTATTTGGATTTGATTTTACTAAAAAAACGCAAAAATAGTCAAATCGAACAGAAAAATTATATATAATTTTTTTATAATAATTTAATATATTATTCATAAATAAAATATAAATATTTTGTTAAATTTAAATTAACTAAGTCTTTAACTTTACTATTTTCTGAAGTCCAACACTTAAATTTTATCTCAACTATTAAAACTCTAAGGGGTCATTTGGTTTGAATATAAGTTATGCTGGAATAAGTTATGCTAAGATAAGTTATACTGGGATTAGTTATCCTGACCTTATTTCTTATTGATTGTTTGGTTTGTTGTACTGAAAATAATAACCATTACATACTTTCTAAAAATAAGTGGTTTGATTACAAAAATACCCTCTTATTTAGCTTTTTATATATATATTTTTTGGTAGAGTTTTAGTTAAAACCAAATTTAACTACTCAATCCATTCAAGATAGAAAATCCACCAATAACCCATTTTAAAAATCCAACCTATCCACATAGTCCTTCCATTCTTTTCTTCCTTACCCTCTTCAGTCTTTTTACATATGAGAAATCAAGATTGCTTGAAAATAGAGCATGAAGACAATTGCACCTTTTGAAATATATGGAAGCATTCATGATAATGGTGATCAACACGGCCATTTTTGGTTTTCTTTTGGAACTTTTAAGACAAAAGGTGAACAAGTGGCACTCAATTAAATAAAAAGAGAGTGAGAAAGAAACCGTCTAAAGCTAGCAAGTTGTATTACATAAATTAGACAAGTTTTATTTTTATTACTCTCTGCTTTGCCATAAAATTAAAATACATAACTAATTTATTATTAGAAAAAATAGGCATTTTAAGAAGTTAATTAAAATCTAGCTATCATTTCTTCATCCAAAGATAAAGAAACATTGCATATAACTTTAAGAACAACTAGTACTACAAATATAGAGTATATGAAAACAGTGGGTAGTGTAGTGTCCGTTACGATACTTGAAAAGTTAGTTAATAGCAAATGTGATTTACTAATGTTTAATTGGACATTTGGACTACAAAAGCCTAGCTAGTTGTAATGAAATTAGATGAATATTTTGATTATATATACTACACTTCTTTTTCTGATGCTTTGTTGTTGTGTGAAATTAAGATATGGAGAGAAGCATGGAGTTGCCTTCTCATCTCAACCAGGAAATTGTTGCCAATGCAGAAGATCCTGAAATTGAAGGATAGTTTTGTCATTTAATAAATTTATCCCATTGTGATTGGATTATTATATCACCTTTTTGGAGGGATAACTTATCCTGGTACTATTTATTAATCCCAGGAACAGTTATTCCAAACTTTCCAACCAAACATTGAATTAAGTGTCACTAAATATTTATCCCGAACTATTTGTGTTTATCCTTCACACCAAACGACCCCTAACTTCAAGTCTATCAAAATCCATTACTTTAGTCTTTGTCTATCCTACCTCACATCAGATAGTCACATTTTTTCTTAATTGCATCACTTTGTTCATGTAATAATAACTCTAGTATTATTTAATTGAATCCACGATAGCTTATTCAGTGGATTGTTCATGTACTAGTTATTTTTGTCTATCAAAATGTGTATACGCTCAATAAATTTATACCTTTTCAAATAGAAAAAACCAATCAAATCGACGGATATTTTTTGTTTGGTTTGATTTGATTTGATTTTAGAAATTTAAAAATCGATCAAATTGATTTGTTTTGATTTTAATCAATAACCAATCCAAACCAAACCATTAACACCCCTATGTATTGCATGATTCTAAAATGAATTACTATATTTATAAAAATATCATCCACAAGAATGTGGAGTATATTAAGATTAGATTATTTCAAGCGAGAGCATCCAAATTATCGTAATCAGATTGAGCTGGAACGTCCTTCTTATATATTTTATTGTGATCATTTACCACTCATTACATTCTATTAAAAATTGCTTGAAGGATCATAATGAAATGTGGAAAATACACAAAAGTTAATGTATGTAAATATATTTTTTGTCAAAAATATATTTTAAATAAGTACATTTGTTTAATTACATTTTGTATTTAGTTACTTAATTTGTAAGATGATTTTGCTAATATTAGAGCCTGTTTTGTGTTTAGCCAATAATTCGAAAGTGCTTTTGAGGAAAATCATTTTTTTAGCTTTCGAAAAGTAATTTTTGCAACTACTAGTTAAAAGAAAACTGTAGGTAAACACTTTACCCTCTCAATTTTAAAGTTTGTGAATTTAAATTATTGGTGTTCTAAATCAATAATTCATATATATTCAATGAATCTTTAAAACAAATATAAATTTGATTCAACGTTATTAAGTTTAATCAAATTCATAATCGATAATATAGCTTTGAACATGACTCCTCCCAACATAACAAGTATATTATTTTAGCTCGAACGATGTCTATGAAAATTATCCTTCTTTTCAATAAATGTGTTAAAAGTATATTTATACTAATTATTGTTGTAAAGGAATAAAACACGCAAAATATTCTAGATCCACACCTAAATATATAACCTCAACAAACTCACTAAACGTTTGACTCATTGGCCTTAAAAAATTATCAAATATATTATGGTGTGATGAGCAAATATAAATAAAAGGGATAAGGTACAAGTGCCCCCTAAATTATAGGCGAAATTTCAGAGACACACATCAATTAAATTAAGGATAAGGGTCTGAAAAATACCCCAATTTTGGTCGGATTTGCTGTTGCGATACTAAACTTTCATGAGGACCTATTACCTCCCTAAACTATTTAATACTGTATGTTAAACATATATATTTGCCCACGTGGACATAAAAAATAATGCAAAATTATAAATAGTAATGTGTCCACGTGGACACATATATATCTTTAAAATACACTATTAAATAGTTCAGGAGGTAAAAAATACGGTATTAAATAGTCTAGGGAGGTAATAGGTCTTTATGAAAGTTTAGTATCTCAACAACAAATCCAACCAAAGTTGGGATATTTTTCAGACTCTTATCCCATTAAATTATCTATTACTTCCTGAACTATGTTTTTAAAATTTTGTACACCTTTTAGCTTACGTGACACACTTCGTGACTCCATGTTATTGAGGCGCGTGAGAGATATTTGGAACCATGGATGAATACATTTGCTATTTTTAGAAAATATTGACAAAAGCAGCCGACAAAGAAATAATACAAACCAACATGAATGGTAATGAAATGGTTGAGATTTGTCCAATGAATTTTAATCAGAAATTTTAAATTTAACTTTTTAAAAATAAAAGAATTCTTGTTAGAAATGCCAGCTCTAAAAATTAACATTATAGTATACTATTTTAAATTTAATCATATCTTAATATAAATATCAAATATAAAATAAAATAATAATAATATGAGTTTGAACTAAGATTCGTCTATTAGGTAAATCTTGAATTTCTAAACTTTATAGTACCAAACTAACAACAAGTCAACAACTAAGTAACTTGAAATCAAAGTTAGATGAACATAATTTAGTTCGAAACATTAGAGCATGTGGCCTTTAAGAAAGTTCAAACTTAAGATCTCTAAAAATTAGAATAAGATCTCTAATTGATTAAATTATTTTATTTGTATCAACAAGTTTGGCAATGACAATAATTTTTTTTAAAAAAATTATACAATTGAGAATGAAGAGAAGAATAAAAGTTTTTAAAACATATATATATATATATATATATATATATATATATATATATATATATTCTTCCTGGACAAGTGTTAGCAAGATGTTCTTCACTTCCGCATGTAAAACAAGATAGTCTATTTTTATAGATTCTATTATTATTATGTTTTCTTACATGTCTATCTTTATTTAGGTAAGGCTTTTTTGCCGTAGATTTTCGTAGATAATATTTTTTCCTTGGTCTGTAGTCTTGGTTATTTTGATATTTTCTTCTATATTTCTTATTTGGTGTACCTTGATCATAGCTTTGTGTTGTATATATATTCTTACAAAAACCAGTCTCATTTTGCTTTAATTGTTTTTGTATTTGTATATTTGTACACTTTTTCTGTAATATTTCCATAACATGCTGTATTTTATGTCCGATAGACCAATTAACATTTGGATTTTGCATAACTCCTTCTCTTTTACTCCATCTTTCTTCTATTTCTCTTCCTAATGCTCCAGGGAGTTTATTAAAAAGCTTTTTTCCTAAGCTTTGATCAAACGCATTGCCGCTTATAGCGCATAAATAAAAATAATCCTTTAGAAAGTTTTTGATATGGCTCCAATTTGTAATGCTAAGTTGTTCTAGTTTTATTAATGCATTCTTTTGCAATACTACCAATCCACTATTAGGGTCTTCTCCTGTTATTAGGCTGTGTATTTTATTAGTGAAATTATATGGATTTGGTCCCATATTTACTAGTTCTTGGA